TGGGTTCGGGCGGATGGAGGTGCCCCTCTGCTAGGGACCTGGCGGGTCCCTAGATCATTTGTTTCGCTAGATCATTTGTTAACTGTGGAAAGGAAGCTAGCATCCGGAGAGAGGAAACCGGGGATGGAAAAGGGGGTGAGCGGCGCTGGCACAGGGGGCCAGGAGGGAGCAGATGAACTGTTCGTTAGGAGCAGTGAGGTAGTCGGGAGCGCTGAGATCCACAGACTAGGACCCACTCCCTCTCTGAGCAGGAAATCGGGAAGAAGATGGTCACTTGGTAAGGGCAAGGGAGCCCGGCATGGCGTCCCGCCCCGGGCTCGGTCTATTCGCGTGCCAGGTTCCCGCTTGGGACGAGGCGCTGGGTCAGCGTTTAGAGCCACTCCTTGCGCTAGTGGCTGGACATAGCCTCCGCACCCCACTTTATCCGACGGCGGAGGTTGAGTCTACAGGCCCTTGACGGTGAGGCAATGGAGGGCGCACCTGTGTAATTGCGGCCTCTCTTCACCCCTTAACTGCAGCTTTCGGACGCCGAGGCTGGATTGAAAGCCTCGTTCCTAATCCTCTGCTCTGGGCCCCTCCTCCGGAATGCTGGGACTCTGAGCTAAACCCTCCCCAGGCTTCCAGGTTTCCTCCCTGCGGCGCGAGCGTGCGGCTGGGCTGTCAGCGGGAGGGAGTTGAAGGCGCACGGAATCCCGAGATGCCGCTGCCTCTCCTTGGAACGCCGACTCCACCGCTCCCGCTCGGCCACCTCCCTGTCGGGCAAACTTTCTACTCTCCTGCTCACAGTAGGGACTAGTCGCGGAGCCAGTCAGCAGCTTGCAAGGAGATCTTCACTCTGCGCCCTCCCCGGGACACAAGTGCAGGTCTCCAGCGGAGCAGTGCGGAGTGCGCGCCCTCGAGCACCAGGAAATCCTAGACGGAGGACTCGGGTCCATTCCACGCAGTCCCAGGCAGGTCCGCAGCGGAGGGACTCAGCGGTCTCCAAACCCTGGTCACGATTTCCGCGGCGACCACTCCACCCCCCACGAGACCTGGTCCCATGGAGCTGTCTCCCCTGGAGCCGCAGCGGGAACAGCAAGACACTCAGCCCCCAGGAGTCCGCAAGCGAGAAAGTTGCCTCGGGGAGCCACGTTCCCTTTGGTTCACCTCGAAACCCAAGAGCTCGGGTCCCTTGACCAAGGAGTGAACAGACTGAGGAAGAGGTAAGAGGAAGTTTTAATGAGAAAAAAATCTAGACTCTCTCCTCTTTTATTGTTTTAAAGCATGAGGCATTTGGGCACTGACTTCTCTCTCCTTAAAGTAGTTTCCGGCATTCTGGCCAGTGTTTGCGTGTCTGCACCCAGCGCCGGCAACAATTTACGGGGGAACTTTTCTGGGTGGTCGAGACTTGAGAATTCATGGTTATCTTTTAAAAAATCATTACTGTTACTTAAAATCTAGGTTATTTTGGACTAAGCCCCCACCTTCACTCCAACCAAAATTTGGCCTTTAAGGGTGCTAGGGAGTACTTCAAAAGAGGAGGGCTGTGGAGGAAGCGACTCAAACGGCCCTAAGAGGGGCGCTGGGGTAGCAGTGGGGGCTTTGGCCTTAATGATCTCTGCAAGTTAAATGCCATTATTCCTATAACTGCAGCTGGGGAAAGGGCAGGAGGAGGTAAGGACAGAAAGTGGGCTGAGGGCGGCCACTTTGGCATCTTCTTGAGAAAGGAGACATTGAATTCCCGGCCCAACTAAAAGCCGTGAGTTGCTTTTGCCCTTTGCTTTACAGCGGTGCGAAAGGAACACTGCCACCAGGGTGTTTTTAAAGGTGAAGATTGACCTGAGAAGCACTGAGATCAGCTAAAGAAAACAAAAGTAAAGACCTACACTTGGTCTCAACACTTTCCAGACACAAACTTCTCTGATTAATCCAAATAGTTCTCTCAACCTGAGGTTCAAGGAATTTGAAATCCTCTGAAATTGTGGGATTTCACAGTTCTACAAGAAAGTCAGATGTCACTTTCTGAGAAGCCCTGGCAGGGGAAGGAAGCAAGAGGAGGTATATGAGGAAAGGGGGTGAGAGGCGCCAGATCCAGCCCTCTAGACCTTGAGTGCTGGACCCCCAAGTTCTGAAACTCAAGATGACCCCATCTACACATTGCCAAACTGAAATGGAAAGTTGCAAGGCAATCAAGGACATAAATTCTCTTTACTGTTTTAAGGATGAGTTTTGGTGTCTAAGCAGATTATCAATCTGGGTGTTTTCAGTACTTTTTTCTTTCTTTCAACTATTCCTGATTTTTGGCCAGAGTAGTTTCTGGAGCCCTTGGGGCAGTTAGGCAAAAGAGGGACTCGGACCTCCAGTCCTTTGATCTTGCCTTTACTTGTTGAAGAGCCCAGTGTTCCCCACTGGCAGGCAGAGTCAAAACCAAGTCTCTCCTAGGCCTTGTCCCAACCCCCCAGCCCTCAGTACTCCTTTCCCTGAGCCCAGGCCTCTGCCAAACTGCAGACTCCCTCCACATCTGGCCACTGGAATAATGATGGCTTTTTTTTTTTTTTTTTTTTTT